TATCCTTCACGGATGGCTTTAAGATTCTGTGTTTTGAGTGTGTGTAGAAAATTCTCGGACACAAGGCAGTGAATTGAAAATGCAACTATAAGTGTCTCACTTCATCTTTCGTTAAGCCTATTTGTGTTTCTCATCATATTTCCAGATGAATGATTTTTGGCTGAAAGTGTTCTTCTGCCAACGATGTCCAAATAGTGCAGATTATGTGACCCCCACGGCCACTCTGTGTGTGAGTGCTATACTGCAAAAAAATTGCTGTATTTTTTTTTATTGCTTTTTCCCCATTTTTCAGAAACAAGTAACTTCTCCTGGATTACCTACTTCCTTCTTCTCATTATTTTACAAGGTAAGTTACTTCCCCATTGCCCAGTTCATCTTGGCAGTAAAGAACCATCCCCAGGGCCAGTTGTGGGCTGCCTTTTGACTCTTCCTTTTGGGGGGGGGTCTCCCAATAGCTGTTGTGGAGGTACTATTTATGGTGTCTTTGCCTTTCAGCAACTTTTCAGAGGCAGATTGGTAAGTGTGGATATTTGGGGTTTGGTGTCCTTGCCTGCCCACGGTGCAAACTCGGTAGTGGAGACTTGACAGTGCCAGGGTGGTCCTATTCCTGGGGTCCTTGGCTGTTCTCCTGGCCCAGCGTGCATTTGGCAGGGCTGGTGGGATGTTCTCGTGACTGGGGGGACCCTGTTGTTGACTGGGCTCCGTTGCAAAGGCTCTGTGTCCTTGCTGCTGAGTCAAGGGGAGAAGTGGTGGCCCAAGAGAGAGAATCCATCCCCAGGGAAAGGGAACACTGTCCCCTGGGAAGTAGGAAACTGCCAGGCTGAATTCCCTGTGTGAGCCAGAAAGAAGGGGCAGGGAGGTTGTGGTGGGGGTACTCCAGCTTCTGGCTTGCCGGGTGCTGGTCGAGTGGAGATGCTGTGCCCCTCAGCACCTGACATGCCATGGAGGACAGGTGGCTGTGATGTCAGTGGAGGCAGCAGCCATGCAGGGTGTCTGTGCCATGCGGGTGCATTGACATGAGGTGTAGGGAGTGGTTGGGAGGACAGTGGGTCTCAATGACTGCGGGTGCTGGACACTGATGTTCCAAGAGCCGTGGGAGCCCCTGTCCGCACTGCTGGGAGCAGCTCCTGCCTGAGCAGCCCTGATTGCTCCCCTTTCTCCCTACCCCTCATTTGCAGAGGAGCTCCAGCTGCAAGGTGGGGCATCAAGGGGTTCTGAGAATGCTGACTGCATGCAGTGCACTGCCACCATGGCTCTGTGCTTGGGGGAGCCCTAGCTGGGGACAGTTTTTGGTGGAAGCCAAGTCTACCTTGCCGAATAAGACCCAGGTTTTTCCTCCTGTCTTCCTCGCACTCAAGATGGGGTTCTAAGCAATGTGTCCTCCCTTCCTCCCCTCTTCTTACAGACAACCAGAAGAAGGAAATTGGTGAGTGTCGCTGTCTCCCTGGATGCTGTGTGAGCCAGCTAATTGTGAGATTTGAGGGTCTTCATGGTCTGTTGCTTGTGGTGTCCAGGCTGGTGGAGGCTTTGGTGCAGGCAGGAGCATGAGGGAAGGACATGTTGAGGGAAGGCCATGTTGGGGCTGATGGAGTTGAGACCCTGGGCTACCAAGCAGTCCTGGTGCCTGGTGAGAAAGTGGGTGATGGTGAGGTGTTGAAGAGATCCCTACCAGAGTCAGAAGCATTTGAGGGGTAGCTCCAGGGAGCATGAGCCATCCACCATGCCAGGTTTTTTTCGCTTCCCCTGGGAGAATGTCCCAGAGTGGACTGGTTCTTGCCCTGACTTGGTGTCATCTTCTCTTGCTGCCCATCGTGACTTGGCAGAGAAACTGTGTGCAAAGGATGGTGAGGCTTTCTGGTTGCCTACACGCTTTCATGTTTATTGTCATTGAAAGTTGTATAGACAGGTGTACTCTGTGTTGGGTAAAAAACTGGCTGGACATCCGGGCCCAGAGAGTTGGGGTGAATGGAGTTAAATCCAGTTGGCGGCCAGTCATGAGTGGTGTTCCCCAGGGCTCAGTTTTGGGGCTGGTCTTGTTCAATATCTTTATCAATGATCTGGATGAGGGGATCGAGTGCACCCTCAGTAAGTTTGCAGACGACACCAAGTTGGGCAGCAGT